TGAAAATTGAAATTGACACCCAACTTGTACAAAACAAAGCCTAGTAGCTTTTCTTATAATTACTCTTTAATTATAGTAATTTACTTTTATGTCTTCTTAATTATTTTTTTTGTAATAAAAGGTAAGATAATTTGCAAGTGGGCAGGGTTTTTTTTTAGCCAGCCACGGTATCCAGAGCTATGTCCCGACTAATTTGTTGGTCGACCTGGGTCGCACACCTGACAGTGGTGGGCGAGTCTTCCAACAAGAGTTTTCTGTATCCACAAGGACTCGAACTTGAGACCTTGCTCAAGTGACATCAAGCTGCTTACTACTTGAGCCAATGGGCAGACAGGCTTTTAATTTTCATTCCTTATATACCGTGTGATAATTCACATTTTACATATTTAAAGTCTTTTTTTTTTCCTTTCGAAAAATGTTTTTTTTTTTCGGTTTGTCTCCATTAGTAACTTGTCTCGAGGCACTCACCCATAAACTAATAAAAGAAATTAGTATAATACATGTGTATTACAAGGGTGCTTGTCAAAAATTTATTCTTAAATTTTAAAATTAATGAGAAAACTATATTAAATTTAGTTTATTTTTTTTTAAAAAATATATTACTATATATTTTAGAATGATATGTGTTACTTATGACTTACATGTTTTATATTATATTAGTTTTTATAACTTATATCATATAACTACTTGAAATATAAATAAATTAGTTGATAAATAATTTTATTTTTCTAATTAATACTAAAAATAATTTTATTATTGTTATAAATATAAATATAAATTATTTTTTTATACATACAATATGGATGTTAAATCGAAACTCATCAAAAGAAGATTAATTTGATATATTTCATATGTAAAAACTGATAAAAAATACAAAAGTTATTAACTTTTATAATACATATACAATTTAATACTTATAATAAGGAATGATATTAAAATGCAATTAATGCATGTAACATGACCATAAATAATTAACATATTTATGGTTATCCGAACCTAATTATTTTTGGTTTGGAATTAAATTAAAATTTACCCAAGCCTAATAACGAAGCATGTAATTTTGTCACATAGGATTCCGAAGCACCAGAAGCAGCTACGTAGACTCAGCGTGTTCTGGATTAATATGTAGGGGGATGTTCTATATGGGCTATTAAAAGATCGAATGGCTAACTTGCCCTTATAAAAGCACTGAGGAAGTGGAATTGGGAAGAATGCTCAACGGAGCACCTTAGGGCTTAGACACACAAAACGTTTGAAATTGGGTCTAGACAAACAACAAGGACTAGAAACGATTGAGACCGGATGCTGGAGCTCAATCCAAACGCAAAACAAACTAGATACTCGTGTAAGAGGATAAATAACCCACTAAAAAAATAAAACAAACACATACCTAAAGTTACTATAAACTAAAACCTCCCCAACTAACACAAGAAGCTCATAACAGAATCTTGATGAGCACCGAGCCTGAAACCGCACACATTATAACCACTAGAAGGACCTAAAGGGCAATAGAACTGGATCCCATAACTAAAAACTCCAGGAAGCGGCTAGGTAGAATCGACGAGAAGGCAAAACTTAGTCCAAATTGGAAAGCTCGAAGTCACTGGTCGCGGGAGAAAGAGGGCCAGAAGGAATATATCGACTCAAAAACAAAGTCGGATGATCAAACACGCGCACCTTGAGGGCCGAACCCGGCGGTAAAACCAGTCGGGAGGACTCCAGCCTGGAGGAGACGACGAAGCTACGGCGAGGACACCAGAAACAGTCCGAACGAGGCAGAGGCTGCATGAGAGAGGACTGCCACAGAACCTCGCCCGCTCACAGCCGTGACCGCAATATTTAAAGGCGATATTTAAAGTAAAAATAACATATAATTAAGGTATTGATAAACCAATATTTAACATAATTTAGACAAACGATAAAAATAAATTTCAAATCATCAATCAATAAGGTTCGGGCAATTAGGGAGCTGTTGGGCCGTGCTTGGGTGGTCAGTGTGTCTCATTGTTATAGGGAGGCCAATTTTGCAGCCGACTGTTTGGCGACCCTAGTCCATCAGTGTCCTAGTGGGTATCTACGGCTCCAAGATCCACCGTCGGCAGTTAAATCGTGGTTACAGCATGACCTCATTGGCGTTGCTTACCCGCAGAGTCTAGCTGTCTAATGGTCTTAGGCTTTTTGCCTCCTTCTTTTTACCAAAAAAAAAAATAATAAAGTGCTAAGTTAATATATTTAGGATTGTGAAATCATTGGACCGCTCATCCTTTTTCTTGTGGTCTGAATGTCAGCTGATTTTGCCACCACGTGTCAGGCGACGGGTTGTTTCTCTGGACTGAGGGTGTTATTATGTTTGCGTTAAATTTGGTACTGTGGTTGATTTGAGATGTGAAGACCATAAAGATGGGGGCCCAAACTAATGAATAAGCTAAAGAGGAAATTACATCCTCCACTTATACAATCTGAAAATATTATATAATTACATCTCCTATATAATTATTTACAGATTAACTAAATTTGTTATATTTATTTGCATATATGCCTAAAAAATTAGATTCCAATTTACATGGTAACTTTCCATCAATTATTTCCCATCAGTTACGTCCCTCTCCTCTCCCCCTCTCTTTCTCTCCTTCAAACACAGCTCTATCTCTCTCTTAGACACCGACGAGCAGGGATGATGCTCGATGCTTCTGGACGAAGGGACGAGGGGGCGACTGCTGCTTGCTTTTTCCCAATTATTTTTGTACACATGTTGTAAATAGAAACTTACCCGACTGAAGACTATGAGATAAACGGAGCGATCTGATCAGTATGTGATATTTGTGAATAGAGAATGAGTTTGCTTTGTTTTCTTGTTTTGTTTAGGCGCTGATGACATGATTGTTGTAACTTCCACCTGCTTTTTGCTGCGTGTTTATGTCACCACTAACAAGAAATGATTTATTCTTGGTTTTGTTAATTGTTAGTGCAAGTTTTGGGTAATTATTTATGAATATATCTATTGTTATTATAAAATTTCATTACGAAAATATCTATTTTTTTTACCTTTGATTTATATTCAGTATATTTTGGTATATTTTCATCCCCTTATATTGTATCGTGTTTGTATCGTCGCCCCTGTTATATGTATCGTTTATATTCAGTATATTTTCGATATATGTATGATTTATATTTAATAAAATTATGAAAAATATATACAATACCTATACCTTCATTACGGTTTGGGTATATGATGGTATATGTTGCGTTTATGTTAGTATATATTCAGTATATATTATGTTATCATA